TTAGAGGCGACAGTCTGTTTCATGCAATATGCAATCGTCAGGCCACCGGTGTTCACTTATATATATATATATATATATATATATATATATATATATATATATAATGAAAGCGGAGTTCTTAGAATTTTTTCTTGATATACATATTAAAATATCGTATATTGTTGTCCTATACATAAGCAAATATATGTGTGTGTGTTTATGTGTGTGTCTACTCATGTTTCTATTAATACAGTTGTTGATGCTAAAACCCACTACATTAATCGCGCGTTGACACTGTCACGTGACAATGTCAAGAACGGTAACTTACGCGATCCACAAACTGAATGAATTCTCATTGCTAAAAGTCGCCCCGGAGCTCACCGTGCGGCCATTGAGTAAACGCTCGCAGTTAAGAACTTTTAAATATCTTTGCCATCCACCGAAGTAATTGCGAATTATTTTCGTATGGACTATGACACATTGATCATAATGGACGATATCGATATTAAACTCACCGTCAGGCTATTAGATATTGCTGAGTCATGTCCCGCTGGAGCCGATAACTTTTGCCGCTGTTTTAATATCCGCCATTTTGATGCCCCATCAGATTCTGATTCATTACGCAGAGAAACATGTCGTACGACAAATGTCTCCTTCTCAGTTTCATTCTATCAAATATTGTATAAGTATTTTAAAATAAATATCGAATTTATTGAAATCATTTTGGAATTACATTGATTGTTTTATGAATAAAAACGTTATTTTGACTATACACGTAATTACTCTTTTATATATAAGTAAAATCAACCAATAGGGACTAATATGACTTGTAGTGTTAAATAACGACTGCAATGTTTTACGGTAAATAAAAAAAATGCATGTACATCGGTTTTTATTTTCTGCAGGATCAACCAAGTATTTTTTTATAGTTAATGATAGTGTCATGGGTACAAAAAAAAAGATTTATGTTTGGACTCAGAAGTAAAAACATTTTTTTATTAATTAAACGTTATGTTTTAGTGTATAATTATGTATGAGCACACACTTGTGCAAATTAATCGAGACAAAACGAATATGTATCTCCATTCCACGAAGACTTTCCTTGCAGATTGACCACAAATTCTCGACTGGATTTAAATCGGGAGAGTTTCCGGGCCAGTCTCTAATACTTTGATTTGATCACTGGTAAGGCTTGCCAGTGTGTTCGCGCAGCGTTACAATATATATACGCTCCCTTGGAGTAATGTCCATCGCAGACAATGGCCATAGGACAACTAATCGACAGTCGGGACAATAGTGTCTTGGCGTGATAAAATTCTCATGCAGTCACGGTTGATGCAATATTTTTCAAGGCCAAAGAAATTTAATCATACAGCCCGAAAAAAATTCATATTATTGCACACCATTGCAAACGACCTAACCTGACTAACAAATAGGAATCGATTACACACTGTCACTCCAGTGAGTCTAAAACTGTCAGTATAGTGAAAGAAAGGAAACTAAAGCGGCTGTTTCAATTAATTTGCACAAGGGTGTATTCTGTTTATTTATTTAACAATATATTCATGTATTTTTATCTACCGGATGGAATATTCGAGAAATCTTAGAAAAATATTCATCCTCTGTCAGGACACGCAGTTTTTTTTTTTTTTTTTGTAATAATAGCATCTACTATTCTTAAAAGCAACAAACACCCAAAAACTAACACAAACTATCAAAACAAAGAAGCTATGAGATTTCAAAACTCGGTGACATGTAAAAGAGATGAATGCAGTAAGTAATATATTTGATAATTTCTGATCAGACATCGCGAAAGAAGTTTGCAGCCTCTTTCATACAGAAATGGCGTCACAAGTCTATCACTATTCTATCGTTATTTTCATGACAAATGTTTGATGAGTTCCATTCCTTAGTTCCTGTAGTTCAAACCTTTATAGCTCGGACATGCACTAGTACTTCCACGGGGTCAAATCGCATTCATTTCCCCCGTGTTCCAAATGAAAGAAAAATGTGAGTACTTCATTGAATGCTACAATCTTAACCACTTGAAGTAAAGGGTCAATCATTATCTATCATCCTTATCTTATTTACATTCTCATCTTACAAACTTATTTATTATTACTATTTTAACCGTATCATTCTATCATACGAATCCCTCGCGACTGTAATATGTGAAATATATTTTTAATAAAGTAAAAAAAAAGAATATCATTGCTAAAAAGAAACCATTCTTAAAAATGAGATAGAAAGTTGACATTTCCGGACACAACTTTAAGAAAGAAGGTTGAAGAATTAAATAAACAAAAAGACTATCCGATATGAAAGAAAGTTTTTGAAATTACAATTCGGTAAATGATTCCAGAGACAAATTCTTCATTTCCGACGGCAGACCTGTTGAAATCTGGGACAACATTCTCAGGAATTCTCATGCCAAAATAGTTGTCTCCACTGTTAGCATTTGAAAACAGGCTAGCCTATAAAAATAGTTCAGTTGTTTGCGATAGTGAATTTCTAAGCCCGGTTTAGATGTGGCACAAAGCCGAAAGTATGGGGATAACCAGTGAGGATCGAACTCACTATTCAGTTGTAATTAGTCTAGCGAGACAAGCTTGCTAACCATTACACCGCCTCGAGGTGCCCAGGTTGTTTGCTATATGGAAGAGTACAGGTTACCTAACTATTCCGGCCAGTTCGTTTTTCCAGAAAACCAGTATCATAAATGCAGGCTGTGAGTGTAGAGCCGGATAAAATGCTACGTTATTAGCCTTTGACAATATATATATATATATATATATATATATATATATATATATATATATATATATATATATAATAATTTTTAAAAATATGATTCCTTCGCTACATAAGAGTTCTGATGTTTCAAAAATGAGAGCCGAAACCATCAATATAATTATTAAAATTAAGTTGAATTATTATAATATATGCTCTACTTCTGTATGGAGCATTGTCTTTTTAAAAATAAAAACAATAATACTACGGAACTCCGGATTATTTACCTAACGTGTTCTTTCCTATTTTTCTGCATACTAAATATATATATATATATATATATATATATATATATATATATATAGAGAGAGAGAGAGAAAGAGAGAGAGAGAGAGGGGGAGATAGATAGATAGATTCTGTGATATCAATCTATCTATCTATCTATCTATCTGCCTATTTCTCTCTTTTCTCTCTCTCTCTCTCTCTGTCAATATATATATATATATATATATATATATATATATATATATATATATATATATATATCCAAGTATAAGATTGGTGTATACGTAATAAATTTCAATAACCAACAAATACTATTCTTAAAAGAGTGCTCAATACAGAGTAGAGCAAATATAATTATTTATTCGAAAATTATAATATACATAATTTATAAAATCACGACAAAAATAACCATTTGTTTCAACACTTCTGGTCTAGCTAGGTATGTTTGATTGATTTGAACCTTTTAAAACCCTTGATAAGGCACCAGAAGTGTTGAAACAAAATGGCTATTTTAGTAGTGATTTTATAACATATTTATCTTATAATTTTCGAATAATATATATATATATATATATATATATATATATATAAGACCTAGTTAGCCAAGATCTACCTACCAGAGTTTCACCTAACGGATCTTCAGGATAAACGGAAAACGGATCTTCATAGTTCTTCAGGGTAACGGATCTTCAGGGTTTTACACTGAAGATCCGTTAGGTGAAACCTTGTAGGTAGATCCTGGATCGCTTTTTTTTTTTTTTTTAGATTTGCTCTACTTGATGTGTTGAGCACTTTTACGTTTTCTTAGCTTACTTGGTTGTTTTCTTTTTGACTGAGCATTGCAGTGTTGTGCGATTTTCTTTCAATCAACATGGATGATTTCAGTCTTTTTTTGCATATATATATATATATATATATATATATATATATATATATATATATATATATTTTGTTGGATAGATGTGAGTTTGTGACCCTGGGTTTCACGCTTTAGCGATCGTCAGACAAACTGATTAATTTTTTTTTAAAATTGGGTTTATGTAGATTGCGTGTATTGGTGTTATTGTGGAAGGGGTGGGGAAAACTTCGTCGTTGTGTCATCGTACTAACGCAAACATCGATGTATGCAGACACATATACATACTTCGTCGTCCGTCGGGACTCATACATATATAAACATATGTGGGCAGTTTCGGATATGACATATGTATGTATACGGGTGGTGTTGTGTCTATACATACGCATTTGTATGTTGAAATTCAAAGATTGGATGTGTAGCGAAAATTTCTCGTGAATGTCTCGTGAATGTATACATGTCATATTTTTATTTTTCCACTGAATAATATTTCCTCGCATGTATGTATATACGTGTGGTGGGGTTTGTGTAAAATTATGATAGGTAAAAATTATTATTATTTATATTTATTTTTAAATTTTGGAAAAAAAAGGGGGTTTATTTGTTATATTTAAAGCTGGTTATTTGTTTGTTTTTGATGACTGTGTATATGTAACAGGTAGAAATTTCGGTTTGTAATCCTTATTGGTTATTTTATGTGGTGATATTTAATATTTAATATGCTGGGTGAGAGGGTAGTTTACGTTAATAATTATAGCGGGTCTATATGATATGATGTGATATATATATATATTTGAAATGACATGAAACCAGTGAAATTGTTTCATTGCTGTTGTTCTTCTAAAGAAGAACTGTTTAAAAATGCATACTTATCGAAATTACTGTTATCTTCGAGTTGATGTCCAAAGAGTTCATAAGTTGATATTCTAACTCCGACCAAAAATATCATATTGGAAAGAATTCTTTGCTTGCAGGAGACAAACAAATGGTAATTGTCATTCGACGACTATTCCGAATTAATCTTTCATTCTCTTTTTTTTTTCTTCTTCTTCTTTTAGTCTCTGTTTACGAAGATCCTGTATGTCATCGTCTTCCGTCCACCGGAAGTCCAGTCGTGAAATGCTCTGGTTTCACGTCGAATTTGACACAGTGAAGCGAACGGCTGTCAAAAGAGTTCCTGTATCGTTACGGGATGTGGCTGGCCGATCATGTGAATTCATGCCTACGTAATTTCTGTACACTATCATGCTCAAAACTTGCAAATAATACGACAAGTGCATTTGCAATTGTATAAAGTGCCACATGCAGAATCAAATAAAAATAACCAATTTATTTTTTATACGTCAATAGTCAACACATCCACACCCACGTACACTCACACACACACATACATACATACAATTTGATCCGTAACACAGAACACCTATCCAATCACAGCTCCATCGGAACTCATTTAAACACACACAAACTTACCAGACTCCATCAGAAACATACTATTAGAAAATACAAACATTCTAACCTCATCCACATGTAAAAAAAGATAGAAAATAATGGAAATCTTAATAATAAAAAAGAAAAAGCCAAACTCAATAATATTAACTACGAACACGGCCACAGTGTGTTGACTGTGTAGAAACACACACACAACCCATACATTCAGTTAAAAAGTAAAAATAAAATCATCCTTGATAATGGCTAAAAGTATATCCGAAAGCGCTCAGAATTATAGGACATTTGGACAGTTTCTACACACTCTGTGTCCAAAAAAGAAAATACTTGTTCGAACACACAAAAAAATTAAATAAAAAGCTTAATCGTAGTACCTTGACTGGCGTCGTTAATGAAACATGTATAAATGGGGCTCTTCTACCTAAATAGACAGTATATATATATATATATATATATATATATATATATATATAAAGTGAACATTGAAGTCAACACTCAGAGGCAACAGGCTGTTTCATGCTGGAAGCAATCGTCAAGCTACGAATGCTGGATTTTTCCTCGGCTATTTATATATATGGTTCAGTAGTGCATTTTGGGTAATCTATTCTGGCGGTTATTTTGCGGTAGTGGCTCGTTTATTTATTTATTGATTCATTTCTTTAGATTAATTTATTTTACTTGCTTTTAATTTTCATTTTGAGGATTTGCTTAGGTCGCTTATTTAATAATTTGTTTTGGTCTGGGAAGATAAAGCTATTTATTCGTCCAATGTTAGATTGCTTGCTGGAGTCTATTCTGTTATTTTGGCGGGTAGACAGTTTTTATTGGATTGATTGTTTTTGCTTATTTATGCTTATTTTGATTAGTTCTAGCGGTTATTTTAGCGGTGGCGATTTGTTAATTTGTTCATTTATTCATTTATTTGGATTAATTTTTATTTGTTTTTATTTATTTACTTATTTTTTTTATTTTGTATATTTTTATTTATTTATTATATATATATATATATATATATATATATATATATATATATATATATATATATATATATATATATGTGTGTGTGTGTGTGTGTGTGTGTGTGTGTGTGTGTGTGTGTGTAAAATGCTTTAATTGATGTGTGCTACTGCCTCGAAGTGAAAAAAGGAAAAAGTTAGGAACTGGACACAGAAAATAAATTTAGTGCGAGAATTCCAAGTACAGAATGTAGTGATTCGATCAAGGGTAGAATTAATATCGTAAACTATATTTTAGAGATTGGGGAAGCACCCTCTCGGGAGTGTATTCCACAAAATGAGAGTAGAGTAGAAGTTCCTACTTAACAATTGAATATGAATATAAAGGGAATTAGAACGTGTCGATCCTGTATATGTGGCATATGGCTTCCTAACTCTTAATATTTGTCATAAAACTAGAGATCGGCTTGTAATGTTTCGTCTGCGGCAAAGGTACTCTCAGGTGGGAAATAATTCATCGCTCATAAGTCCACGAAAGCGCTTTTGAACGCCGTCGAGGCTGAAAAGATGAGCAATTGGCCCGTTTGAATGACAGAGTTGAAAAGAAATTGTTTCTTCATAGGCATAATCATCTTTAATCTGGTGCTACAAAAAACTAACCTTTTCATTCTATCAGACCTAGTCTATTTATAAAAGGAAACTGAATGAATTAAGCCTGGAAACATTTTCTTAATAATAGTAATGGTAATTTTAATATTAACCGTTTCTTTATGAGGAAATATTAGGCATTTATTGGCCGAGCAGCCAGTGCTACACGAGTTAAGATTTTATTCATTCGCTGGCCATTGGGCAGGGATCAAAGTGTAGTATCTGTTCCCCCAATCACTAATGGTAATGGTAATATTAGCCGTTTCATTATAAGGAACACATTCGGCAGTTATTGACTGAACAGACAGTGATAATCGAGTTACGCTTCTCTTTAAACCCTGGCCACCGAGCAGGGATCAACGTGTAGTATCTGTTCTGCTCATCTTTAATAGTAATGGTAATATTAAATGTTTCTTTATACGGAAACATTCGTTACGCAATGACTGAAAAGACATCTCTTCACTCCTTGGTCATCGGGCTGGGATCAAAGTGTAGTATCTGTTCCCTTTATCTCGAATGGTAATGGTAATATTAGCTGTTTTCTTAGAAAGAAAGAAAGAAAGAAAGAAAGAAAGAAAGAAAGAAAAGGACAAAAATGCAGAAAAAAGGAAAAGAAAGAAAATGATAGAGAAAGAAAAATTGAATAGCAGTTACTTTGACGTCTGCTATTCAACGGTGGCCTATGAAAAGCGAGAAAAATGAATAAGAAAAAAGAAAGAAATATTTTGGTAAGGAGAAAGGGAAAGAAAGAGAGAAAAATTGGCAAGGGATGAAGAAGGAGAGGTAGAAGAAAGAAAGAAAGAAAGAAAGAAAGAAAGAAAGAAAGAAATAAACAAACAAACAAACAACCAAACAAACAACCAAACAAACAAAGACATAGTTCCGAATTACATTTGATTCGAAAAAAAGGTAGACAAAGAAAGAAAGAAAGAAAGAAAGAAAGAAAGAAAGAAAATAACAAAAAAGGAAAAGAAAGAAAATGATAGAGAGAAAGAAGAAACTGAATAGCAGTTACGTTGACGTATGTTATTCAACGGTGGCATATGAAAAGAGGAAAATGAATAAGAAAAAAGAGAGAAATATTTTGGTAAGGAGAAAGGGAAAGAAAGAAAGAAAGAAAGAAAGAAGAAAGAAAGAAACAAAGCAAAATGAAAAGATAGGAAAATGAATAAGAAAAATGAAAATAAGAAAGACAGATATATGATTGGATGTAAGACATGAATCTCATTAATAAAGAAAATTAAAGAAGAAAGAACGAAAGAAATAAAGAAAAAAAGTAAGATAGAGAATGAAAGAAAATTAGTAATAAAGAACAAAAAGAAAAAAAATGAGTGAATATGAAAGAAAGGAAAAACAAGATGGTGCTCATGAAGGCGAAAGAAATACGGAAATAAATAAAAATAATGATAAAAAAAATTCTAAAAACAAAATGGACAAATAAGCGAAGAATGAAAAAAAAAATGAAAGCGGCGAATGCGGGGGGGGGCTGCTGAACGCCGTCAAGAAACGGAAATGCAAGTCCAAAAGCAAAAGAAAGCCCCCAAAAACAATAACGTATTATGACCATTAATCAACTTCATAAGCGCACTGACGGAACCGCGCCCCTAACTGATTAATGAGTTCCCTCCTCAGCCCCGAATTCACCACATTGATACTCCTCCACCGGTCGAGTGAACGCCGTCCGCTTCTAATTTGTTCACGTTCCGACATCGTCATCATCATGATCATCATCGGTAAAATTGTCACTTCAATGGCCGATAGGATTGGGGGTGGTGGGGTGGGTGGGTCGAATAGCAGTTACGTTGACGTGTGCTATTCAGCGGTGGCATATGGATCCGCCCATAATTGCTAGTGTTTAACAGGCGAAGAAGAAATTGACACTAGGTGATGGAGAAAGAAAGAAACAAACAAACAAACAAAGAAACAAAGAAAGAAACAAAGAAAGAAACAAAGAAAGAAAGAAAAAGATAGAAGAGGAAAATGAGAAACAAAGAAAGAAAGAAAGAAAGAAAAAGGGAAGTAGAGGAAAATGAACAAGAAAGAAAGAAAGAAAGAAAGAAAAAGGTAGAAGAGGAAAATGAGAAAGAAAGAAAGAAAGAAAGAAAGAAGGAAAGAAAGAAAAAAAAAAAAAAAGGTAGAAGAGGAAAATGAGAAAGAAAAGAAAGAAAAAGGGAAGTAGAGGAAAATGAACAAGAAAGAAAGAAAGAAAGAAAGAAAGAAAGAAAGAAAGAAAGAAAGAAAGAAAGAAAGAAAGAAAAAGGTAGAAGAGGAAAATGAGAAAGAAAGAAAGAAAGAAAGAAAGAAAGAAGGAAAGAAAAAAAAAAAAAAAGAAAAAGGTAGAAGAGGAAAATGAGAAAGAAAGAAAGAAAAAGGGAAGTAGAGGAAAATGAACAAGAAAGAAAGAAAGAAAGAAAGAAAGAAAGAAAGAAAGAAAGAAAGAAAGAAAGAAAGAAAGAAAAAGGGAAGAAGAGGAAAATGAATAAGAATGAAAGAAATATTTCGGCAAGAGAAGGGTAAAGAAAGGAAAAAAAAAAGAAAGTGGTAAGAAAAAGGAAAAAAGAAGAAAAGGAATAAGAAATAAATAAAAAGTTTTTGACAAGAAAAGGTAAAGAGAGGAGAAAGAAAGAAAGAAAGAAACAAACAAACAAATAAACAAAGATAGAAAAATGAAAAGAGAGGAAAATGAATAAGAAAAAAGAAAGAAATATTTTATTAAGGAGAAAATAAAGTAAGGAGAAATAAAGAAAGAAAGAAAGAAAGAAAGAAAGAAAGAAAGAAAGAAAGAAAGACATAGTTCCGAATTACACTTGATTAAAAAAAAAGTAGACAAAGATCCAATTACAACGCTCAAATCAAAATGACGGTCCGATTTACTCTTGAGTCACAAAGCTCAAGTTTAAAATCGGAATAAGAGGTTTGATTTAAACTCAATACGAAAAGGTTGACGTTCGTCGGCTTTATATAAAATTTTGCAATCATTTAATCTGAAGATGGCCCAACTGAGGAGAAATATATCCCCCAATAGTAGATCCAGTTTGTGTATTCCAAGCCACTCCAAGACACGGCAAAATGCGGATTGATCTTAGGCCCATAGCGAATGATTTAGCCAAACGAGTTTACTGTTATGCGTACATCTGAAAATGCTTAAATTGGGAATTTCTTCGTCAGCCATATGACTTGAATGGAGATTCATTAAAAGAAAAAGAATAAAAAAAATAAAAATCCTTATAGTAATCGTTTCTACGTAAGGAATCATTTGTTATTCATTGAACGAGCAGACAGTGCTATTCGAGGTAGGCTTTTCTTTCTTCCTTGGGTATTGAACTGAGATCAAAGTGTAGTATCTGCTCTTCCCATTTCTAATGGTAATATTAACCATTTCCTTATAAGGAAACATTTGGTATTCCTTAGCCGAGCAGCCAGTGCTATTCGAGTTGGGCTTTTCTTTCTTCCTTGGGTATTGAACTGATATCAAAGTGTAGTATCTGTTCTTCCCATTTCTAATGGTAATATTAACCATTTCCTTATAAGGGAACATTTGGTATTCCTTAGCCGAACAGCCAGTGCTATTCGAGTTGGGCTTTTCTTTCTTCCTTGGCTATTGAACTGATATCAAAGTGTAGTATCTGTTCTTCCCATTTCTAATGGTAATATTAACCATTTCCTTATAAGGGAACATTTGGGATTCCTTAGCCGAGCAGCCAGTGCTATTCGAGTTGGGCTTTTCTTTCTTCCTTGGGTATTGAACTGATATCAAAGTGTAGTATCTGTTCTTCCCATTTCTAATGGTAATATTAACCATTTCCTTATAAGGGAACATTTGGTATTCCTTAGCCGAACAGCCAGTGCTATTCGAGTTGGGCTTTTCTTTCTTCCTTGGCTATTGAACTGATATCAAAGTGTAGTATCTGTTCTTCCCATTTCTAACGGTAATATTAACCATTTCCTTATAAGGAAACATTTGGTATTCCTTAGCCGAGCAGCCAGTGCTATTCGAGTTAGGCTTTTCTTTCTTCCTTGGCTATTGAACTGATATCAAAGTGTAGTATCTGTTCTTCCCATTTCTAATGGTAATATTAACCATTTCCTTATAAGGAAACATTTGGTATTTCTTAGCCGAACAGCCAGTGCTATTCGAGTTAAGCTTTTCTTTCTTCCTTGGGTATTGAACTGATATCAAAATGTAGTATCTGTTCTTCCCATTTCTAATGGTAATATTAACCATTTCCTTATAAGGAAACATTTGGTATTCCTTAGCCGAGCAGCCAGTGCTATTCGAGTTAGGCTTTTCTTTCTTCCTTGACTATTGAACTGATATCAAAGTGTAGTATCTGTTCTTCCCATTTCTAATGGTAATATTAACCATTTTCTTATAAGGAAACATTCGGTATTCCTTAGCCGAGCAGCCAGTGCTATTCGAGTTAGGCTTTTCTTTCTTCCTTGGCTATTGAACTAAGATCAAAGTGTAGTATCTGTTCTCCCCATTTCTAATGGTAAAGGTAATATTAACCATTTCCTTATAAGGAATCATTTGGTATTCATTGACCGAGCAACCATAGTTACTTTCAGTTGAAATTTGTAAGACGTTTCTTTTAAAACAATTTTTCAGGAAAATAGATTTCTCAAGTCCACTAGCTGTTATCGCTCTTTTCAGTTTTGACTGGGGTTTCTTCTCTAACTTTTTGTTTGAAGTACTGTGTAATGTTAACATTTTGATAATTTTCTGTTCGAGTTACATGTGATATCTATTTTAGTTGTTGCCGTTGTTGGAAGTCTTCAAATAATGTGGGATTTTTTATTCGGTAAAGATCTTTTTTTCTGATTCTGAAACCCCACTCTACGGGAGCCGTCAAAGAACTGTCTTCTGCAAGATCTACAGCGTTCATTCGCTTGAATCAATTCTAATCAACGATCTGAGAAAACGAACCAAAGTACGAGACAATCTAATCACTGCTTCACTAACTGAACGTTTTTGGTTGTAATGTGGATTTTAAAAAATATTATGCTTTATTTTCCATAATTTTGCTAATAATTTTATATATATATATATATATATATATATATAAAATATGAATTATTTTTTATTTTACACTTCTGAGTTGACAATGCCAATATAGGTCTTCTTGTTGGTTGAAATAGCTACTCGAGAAAATTTACTGAGGTAAATTTGAATTTCTAATCTATGTAATATATATGCTCTGTTATAAAAATAATTTGTGGATCAGTTTTAATTGATGCCGTGTCTTCAAGTAATGTGGGTTTTGTTACTTGGTAAAGTTCTTTCTTTCTGGTTCTGTAATGTCAGTCTACGGTATAAGTGGAAGGACAGTCCTCAACAAGACCCACAGCATAAATTCCCTTGAATCAATTGTAATTAACGATCTGAGAAAACGAAGCTACGGGGCAATCTAGTTTCTGTTTCACTAACTGAATCTTTTTTTTTTTTCACCTGTGTTTTTCTATTTACATTATTTGGACTATTGTCCTCATCTTTGTCGCCATATTTATTACAACGTTTCGGCCTTTCAGCATCTATCTATATTTCTGAGATAAAGTATTATGTACACTATTTACATTATTCGGACTATTGTCCTCAT